TTTTTTTTTTTTTAACATTTAATGACTTAAAACTGCTTCATTCATCTAATTTTTATAAAACAAGTCATTCCAATCTGGAATCTAATATAAAACTGGCCCACATGGGACAATTTCAAGAGATTTGCAGTATTAAGAGGAGCCCTGGTGGGTGCAGTGGTTAAAAGCTTGGCAGTTCGAATCCGCCAACCGCTTCTTGGAAACCCTGTGGGGCAGTTCTCGTCCATCCCGTGGGGTCACTATGAGTCGGAAGTGACTCGAGGGCAAGGGGTTTGGTTTTCGCATTATTAAAATATTTTTTATAACATTATAATCTTTTAAATGCATATTCTCCAGTGTTCACTCAGATACTTGAAATTGCATTCGATGATGATTATTTTATTGGTCATGAAACACCAAAGTAATGCATATATTTGGTATATTTTTGTGGAACCTTGCTAAAGAAAAATCACAGGCATTCTGAAGCAACTGATTATATTTAATCAACTTTATCTCTTTCCCAATCAGTCCTTGCTATTTAAAAAACTTCTCTAAGAAAATGATCATGAGAAAAAGGAGAAGAAAATAAATACAACAATAGTGTTAGAAAAAATGCTTTATTAAAACCTTGGAAGATGCCAAAGGACAACTTTGAGAAAGTAACAAAATGAGGAATCAAGCAAGGGCAAGACAGAAAAGGAAGTAGAATAAGAGAGAAACAAGTTACTAAAGAAAATCCACAGGCTACATGATTTTGTGAAAATACAGTTCTTGTTAGATGCTGTTGTGTCTATTCCAAGTCATAGCAAACCCATGTGACAGAGTAGAATTGCCACATAGGGTTTTCTAGGCTGTAATCTTTATGGGAGCAGATCATTGGGTCTTTTTTCCCCCCATAGAACCTCTGGGTGAGTTTGAACTGCCAACCTTTTGATTAGCTGCCGAGCACTTAACCATTGTGCCACCAGGGCTCCCTGAAAATATATGACTTGATATTTCAGTAGTTCGCATCCATCTGTGAACTTACATTTGAGAGAAATGAAATTATTTCTGAGTTATTAAATAGATTATTAATTATAATAGCTACTGTTTATTGAGCTCTTACTGTGTGACAGGTTCTATGCGAAACACATGAAATGGGTTATTGCATTTTATCCTTGTAACAAGCCTGATGTAATGCTGTTACAATCTTCCATTACAGATATGGAAAGTGGGGCTTCAGGAAAGCCAAGTCCCTTGCCTAGGGTCATACAGAGGGATTTTTAACCCAGGTGGTCTGACTTCACAATCCATATGCTTAACCACTATACTGTAACACTGTATAACAGTGCTTTTGAAACTGCCAAGAATGGGGTACAGTTAGGGGGAGAAAGCTATGCCCCACATGGCTGGAGGCTCCCAGGGCCCAGACTAGATAGGCTTCTGCCATGAGCAGCTAGCTTCCTCTAGTCACCACAGTGTGCTTGCTGTACGGATGTTTTCTGTGAGTTCTGTGATGCGGAAAGGGTTAGAACGCACTGGTGTGAGACCTGCATATTTCTAGTCTTGTGAATGATTCTTATAAATACCCGGTGTTTTTTCAAGCTTCCTTAAATCTTTTACTTTATGAGAGGGTAAATTATAGTGGGTTTTTTTAATTACTTCACTAGTAGTACTGTTTAAAATATATAATTGCTGACATAAAAAGTCATTTTCTAATTTTAGACCCTTCTTGAGAGAAATTATTTTGCCTAACCAGTTTTCTTTATAGTTTCTTGCAGAACATAAGCTATTAGGAAACATTAAAAATGTGGCCAAGACAGCTAACAAGGACCATTTGGTTACAGCCTATAACCGTCTTTTTGAAACTAAGGTAAGTATTGTTAAATTCTATTACCAGAACCTCATTTTAGATCTTTTATTCCCAGAAAGACTTTTTAAATGTGTATTAGCAGTATATGTTGGAGGTTTTGTTGTGTTTTTTTTTTGTTTTTGAACTGCAATCGGAAATGGACTAGCTATCAAATCTAGTGAGGCTAATCCGCAACGTGGCAGAATGTTTTCATATTTTGGGAGGGACTAGATTTTTAAAAATAATTCTACAGTAGCTTAAATTGAGGTGGTAAAGGTACTGAAAAGTCAAAAATCCATGATATCAATTGGTATTACCATATTACTTAAGCATTTACACTGCATGTTAAAAATAAGCTCCATAAAGTCTGATTGAGGCTGAGCCTTTAAAAAACAAATTTTAGAAAATTCGCCAATATTTGTTCACTGTGAAATGACCATCTTCCATGGAAAGTTTTCTAATTTGGGATATATGTTACTAGATTTTGTCAAGTCAACTGTATTTTTTAGAAACCATTTTTCTGATTATAAAAATTAATGCTATTTTTTAAATAGAAAAGGATAGAGTACATAATATAATTCTACTACCTAGAAATGAACATATTTAATATTTCAGAATGTTTTCTCTGAATATTTTCAATGCATATATTTGATTAAATGGTTGAGATTTTACTGTAGTTAGAACTTTTACTGATTTTCACTTAACATTGTAAGGATTTTCCACATCATTAAAAACTTGAGTATTCCACACCCAAATGTATGGTTACTTTGCTGTTCTGGATAATAGTGTGTTGAATAACTGCATAGTTTTTTCCCAAGTTTCAAATTACTTATTAAGTATATATTTGTATAAGTGGTATTATTTTTTAAATTTTAACGCCTTTAACTAAATTGTATTCTGAAGAGATCGGATCAGTTTATACAACTAGAAGTAGACATATGACCATTTATAGTAGCAATTCCAACTAAGTTGGCCTTTCTAAAGGTCATGGTTCTCATTTCAGAATTTATATTGTGAGATAGATGGTTTGAGGGCCATAATTTATTGATAAGAATTATTAACATAAAATTCTTCTTTTGTTCTTAGCAAGTTTCTTTAGGCCACTTATTTACATTTGATTTTTGTTGCCTATATTTATGGTGCAGATTCATTTAATTGAGAAGCTGAAAATCTAGGTGACTGTCCTAGTTTTCTGCCTGTTCTTTACATGACAAGTGTAAGAACATTTTCCTTACAGCGTTTCAAAGGTACCGAAAGTATAAATAAGGTGTCGGAGCAGGTGAAAAATGTGAAGGTTAATGATGACAAGCCCAAAGAAACCAAGTCTGAAGAGACTCTGGAAGAGGTTTGTATTAATATTTTCTTATTTTGTATTTTTCTAATGTGGATTTTATAAATAGTATTTGCTTTATATAGTCGGGAGTTGGTTAGTAAGGCCACTTTCACAGTGAGCCAAACACTGATTGGAGTTTGTCTTCGCCCTTAGGTGCATTGGAGCCAAAACAAAACTTTATAGTTAGTAGCTTATCCTGTGAAATAGCTCTAACTTAATATTGCCTCTGAGTCTGGGCCAGACTCTTAAAAGCTATTTTAAGGCTTTGATTATATAGCCAAGTTGGAATGAGTAAAAGAAACTTCCTTTTTTATTATTTTTAGCTTTTTCTAATGTACACAGCGTCCCTGGCAATAGAAATAGTCCAGGCCTGGCTGCAACCTAGGTTGGTTATTTTGATAAAAGAGTAAGAACAAGATTCAACCATTTCTGCAGGTAATGAAGATAGCCTTAGTAAAAGCTGACTTGACCTTGCCATTTCTTATGTATCTTGCCAACAAAGTTTACTCATTTAAGTGGTCTTAGACTCCATGATGATAATCAATCTTTAGTTTTTATAAAGAGATATAGCCTGTTGATGAACGTATAGCATTTGAGTATTTGTGGACAGAGTATAAGATCAAGTATAGGATTGCCATTGGCTACTGTCAGGTCAGCCCGACTCAGCGGCAACCGCACGCACAACATAGTAAAACACTGCCTGATCTTGCACCGTCCTGCACTATTCCCATTACTGGCTGGGGATTGGACCATTGTGATCCATAAGGTTTTCGTTGGCCAGTTTTTGGAAGGCGATTTCCAGGCCTTTCTTCCTGGTCTCTTAGTCTGGAAGCTGTGTTGAAACCTGTTAAGCATCATAGCAACTCGCAAGCCTCTACTGATAGAAGGTGGTGGCTGTGAGTGAGTGGCATTGGCCTTGGCTGGGAATCGAACCCAGGTCTCCCACATGGAGGACGCGAATTGTACCAGTGAATCACCATTGCCACCATAGACGCGTTATATGATTAAAGCTAGTTAATTTGCATGATCTTTTCCCCTCAGACATCTGGGTGGGTTCGAGCTGCCACCGTTCAGGTTGGCCACCAGGGCTTCTTAAAAATATTATATGACTTGATATTTCAGTAGTTTGGCATCCATCTGCCAACTTAAATTCTGTTATTTTGAGTCATTAAATGTATTATTAAACACAGCTAATGTTTATTGAGCTCTCACCATGTGACAGGCTCTGTGGTAAACACGTGAAATGGGGGTGTCAGGGAAGAAGCTAATGCTTAATTACTTTCGTAATGCAGTAAAACCTGCAAAAGCCAGAACCTGTGTAAGGTGGAAACCTATCAGAGAAGGAAAACTCAAATATTTTCCACTAATAGAGAGTGATAGAAAAGTGGTAAGACAGCACCCTGTCAAAGGCAGAAAACTTGCAAGACTGGAAAAAGAAGGCAGTCCTATCGAGTTCCAGCTCTCACAGGTTTCACTCTACATTGTACTCGACCCGTAGGTATGACTTGATTTAGGGAGGCAGTCTCGCTTTAGTTCAAAGTACTTACCTGTTAAACTGTAAATCCAGGCTCCATTATCTATTAGCTATGTGCCCTATCCAAGCCTTTACTTTCTTTATAAAAGATATGGAAAAGACTCTCAGGTTGCCATGAGATTAAATGAACTGACATAAGAAAAAGACTGGTCTAAAACCTGACATACCATATGTGTTTGAGAGGCAGTAAAGTGGTTGAGAACATGGGCTGTATATCCAACCATCAATTTGTACCTGGTTTCCAATCCTCCACAGCCACTTGGGAGCTGTAAACAGGTTACTTAACTGTGCTATCTTTCTATTTCCTTATCTGTAAAATAGGGATGATAATAGTAGTACCTACATCATAAGGTTGTTAAGTATTAAAAGAGTGAATTCATTGTAAAGCATTTGGAATAGTGCCTGGCACATAGCAGGTACTCAGTAGATGTTAATTATTTTACCTGTTAACATTGATAGACATTAACTGTTGTTACTCCCATTATTGTTTGAGGCATACTGGAGAGTACCGGAGCTTAGGATTCAGACAAACCCAAGTATGAATTCATCCTCTACTACTCTCTAGTTATGTTGCATAAATTCCCTGAACCTCAATCTCTGCAAAATTCAAGTATGGGATGCCTTCTTCAGAGGATTTTGGTCAAGTGGCATGATATGTATTAAGTGACTGGCAAATAATAGGTATTTAATAATATCTCTTCCTTTTGTTTTATTATTAAGTGTTCTTTAGTGTAAAATTCTATGCATGTTAAGTTTGACCATGTATAGGGCTAAACACATCAAGCCGACATTAACTCATTAATGACATTTCTTTATTATTAGTTTTGAGTGAGGCACTATTCAGTTTGGGGCAGTATCTCTCAGATTAAGGAATATGCTCTAGAATTACTTTTTTCTAGGACTACAAACAAGAATAAACTAGAGGATATGTTTAGGACTACAGACCCAAAAAGAGACTTTTCCCCCAAAAAAAATCTATCTCATAAAACAGTTGAATATTGAGAATTAGTTTTTTGGTTTTCACCCACATTAAAGATACTTCAGAAGTGACTTTAAAAATGCGTAACTGTCAAATCAGTTTTGAATTTCTTTGCTTAGTTCAGAGAGCTTTAATAAATGTTTTAAATTTTCTTAGTAAAGTCATATTTCTTTAACCTTTGCTTTAATGAAAATACTTGTATTTATTAAGATTGTTCTTATCAAAATATAATCAAGTAATCCTTTGAAAGAATACCAGGAAGTGAAATGATCTGAGTGGTATAATTTATAGTCTGTCCTAAAGGGAAGATGACTTTCTGGTAAGATCACACAGGATAGTATGACCTTGTTGAGATTACCCCAGTGCATATTTTGTTTGTATACCCAGAATTAATTTCCAGGTGAAATCACAGGAGATTGAATATTATATTAGAATAAATCAGAATACCAATTTATTCCTTTCCGTGAGTATTCATGTGAGCTGCGGAGTACATATTCACCTATGTAGGAAAATCTGTGTAAGAAATCAATTCATTCATTCACCTAACCACTCAATATTTCTAAAACCGAGTGTATTCTATACCAGGGTTGACATTTAATGACATTTTGACCAGATAATTCTTTGTTGTGGGGGCCTTCCTACTGGCGCAATGGTTAAGTGTTCAAAAGGCCAACAGTTCAAACCCACCTAGCGGCTCTGTGGAAGAAAAGACCTGGTGATCTGCTCCTGTAAAGATGAGAGCCTAGAAAACCCTATGGGGCAGTTCTACTCTTGTCTTACAGTGTCACTATGAGTTGGAATCAACTGAAAGGCAAACAATGCAATGCTATGCATTGTAGGATGTTTAGCAACAGCACTCTCCTCCCCCCAGGTTATGACGACCAAAAATGTGTCCAGACAGTACTAAAATGTTTCTTGGAAGTAAAATTGCCCTAATTGAAAACCACAGTTCTAGACCTTGGAGTTCAGAAATTGCAACATAAGTGACAGGTGCCCTAGCAGAAGTTTGTAGGAGGTGGGACCGGGGACACAAAAAAGAATAGTGGCCAGCTTTACTGAAGAGGTCATGGAAGAGACTGGTGTTTGACAAGGGACAGAATTCTACATAGATGTTAGGATCCTGAATGGCAAAGGCCTTTGAGCATAAAAATACAAGCAATAATTATCAAGATTACTCCAGCAGTGGAGTGGAGGACTGACTGAAGGAATATACTATTTGCCAGGAGAGAAGACTTTTACAAGCCTTAGAAAGAGATGAAATCCTGAACCGGGGAAGTAAATGTGAACAAAAATCTGCATGATTTAGCAACCCATTAGAAATAGATGAGGAATAAAGAAAACACTATCTCTTGCTTTCTAAACTCAGGAACCAAATAGCTTTGGATTCCTTAATAACAAGCCACATCTTGTTACTTGTGTTCTGAAACTTAGGAACTCAGTGCAGATTTAGATAATGCAAATCCCTCCCTGCCTGAACTCAAGAACCAAACAGATTTAGGTAAGGAGGGTTACTTTTACATTTTTTACATTTGCTCTTATTTTTTTTTCTTTTAATCCCTAGGTGCTTGGCACATCATCTTTTCTAGGTTGGCATGCTTTTCTCACATATATGAATTATCATTGATTAGAGTACCCTTATTTTTTTTTAAGGCCCTGATCCCCAAACCAAACCTGTTGCCGTTGAGTTGATTCCATCTCGTAGTGACTCTATAATATAATAGAGGACAACTGCCCCATGGGGTTTACAAGGAGCAGCTGGTGGATTCGAACTACCGACCTTTCGTTAGCAACCAAGCTCGTAACTACTGTGCCACCAGGACTCCAAGGCCCTGATAATCCTGCTTTTTTCTAGAAAATATGCCTCTCGTGGCGACTTCTGTAGATAATTTCATACATGTGTGAACTTATTTTCATGTTCAGAGGGAGGCAATATCATTGTATTCATTCTGATTGGATATATTAAAAGTATCTGATATTTTTTGGTGCTGAAACAAAATCTTTGACAAATAATGCTTTACGTAATACCTAATGATTTCAAAGGAATAATTAAATAATGATATTTCTAACCTTGAATGACTTTAATTCATTTTATGGTTTGTTGAATAAGTAATAGAACCTTGTCAAAAGAACTTTGATTTCCAGTGAAGCTGGAAATTAAAATTGAATTGGAGATACATAAGTTACTTATATTCTCATCACTGACTTGAGATAGTAAATTTAACTCAGAGATGTGAACTAGAGACAAAAGTTTGTTACCAAATCCATCAGATCTCTGTGACCTGAGTTAGGTCACAGTTGGCTCTATAGGTATTCTCCTTTTCATCACTCTAAAATACATGAGTTATTAACTCTATGTGTATGTTGTTCTTGGTTTGTTTGTTTCTAGGGTCCACCAAAATACACAAAATCTGTTCTTAAAAAGGGAGATAAAACCAACTTTCCCAAAAAGGGAGATGTTGTTCACTGTTGGTATACAGGAACACTACAGGATGGGACTGTTTTTGATACTAATATTCAAACAAGTAAGTCTGGATGTAATCTTTTCTTTTCAACTTAAAAACAGTGCAGAATATTTCTGTGGTAGACAGATTAGTTGGCAGTTCCTTTTTCTTGGCTGTCAGGTACTTTTTCCAGAAGTCTTTTGACATGTATGATTTACTTAGAAGAGGTCTTCAGTTCATTGATACTGAGTTGGAAAGCAAAAAATAGAGCAGCTTAGTCTAAACGATGTTTCCCAAAGTGAGGCTTTAGGATTTTCACGAAGTCAGAATAGTGTGCTATTTTAGATATAAAATTATTTTTATATCTGCAACTTCCTTTGTAAATTACCCAGCATTTGGAATTTTATTTCTTTTCATATAATACATAGTATTGTACATTCTGAAGTCAACTTAAATATCTAATCTTTATATTTTTCCACTAGAACTTAATTTCTTAATAAAGATTAAGGTCTATAATTGTAAGGAAAATCTGTTTTGCAGGTTCAAAGAAGAAGAAAAATGCCAAGCCTTTAAGTTTTAAGGTTGGAGTTGGCAAAGTAATCAGAGGAGTAAGTAAAGAATAACAATAAAATGTGTTGTGGTATGGTGTTATGAAGAATTAGGATTGGGGATGTAGGGAAAAAACAATCTTTGGATACTGACAAATCAAGTTCTGTTATTTGCTAGTTGTATGATCTGGCACAAGTTCGGTTCTCTGGGCTTCAGTTTCCCTATCTATAAAACAGGGACAGTACTGCCCATCTCAGAGTTGTTAAAAGATTAAATGAGCATAATTTAAAACACCTAATATAGTAGAGACTCAGATATTAGTTCCTTCCATGCTTACCCTTTTTATTACTTTTTCTTCATCAAGTATTTCGTTGTCAGAATGTGTCTTACTAAATTTGTTTTACGATTCTTGTAAAATGTGAAATAACCATTGAACCACTTGTAGATAGGAAAAGGTAAAATATCTATTCTACCGAAACACTGATAGAGGTAGAAGTTTGTTCTATGGCCTCTCAAACCTCTCACAATCTAGGCTCAAACACCAGAGTATCTTTCAAATATAAGCATGCTCTTGGGGACACAGGGTTAAGAGCTCGGCTGCTAACCAAAAGATCGGCAGTTCACTGAGACCAGAAGAAGTAGATGATGCCCTGCTACCACCAATGACTGCCCTCACAGGGAGCACAACAGAGAGTCCCTGATGGAGCAGGATAAAGGTGGGGTGCAGAACTCAAATTCTAGTAAGAAGACCAGACTTAATGGTCTGGCTGAGCCTGGAGGAACCCTGGAAAGCGTGGCCCCTGGATTCTCTATCAGCCCAGAACTAAAATAATTTTCCAGGCCAACTTCAGACAGGGATTGGACTGGACTGTGCGACTTAAAGTTACACTCATGAGGAGTCTGCCTCTTAGCTCAAGTAGGTATAAGAGACTACATGGGCAGCTTCTGTCCGGAGGTGAGATGGGAAGGCAGAGAGGGTTAGGAGCTGGTTGAATGGACATGGGGAATCGGGTGGAAAGGAGGAGTGTGCTGTCACAGTATGGGGAGAGAAATTAGGGTCACATAACAATGCATGTATAAATTTTTGTATGGGAGACAAACTTGAAATGTAAACTTCATTTAAACAACAACAATAAACAAACAAAAAAAAGGTCGGCAGTTCGAATCCACCAGCCACTCCTTGAAAGCCCTATGGGACAGTTCTACTCTGTCCTGTAGGGTCGCTGTGAGTCAGAATTGACAGCAGTTTTTTTTGTTTTTTTTTAAATAACTGATTCGCATACTGGTAAATCTAGTCTGCCATGTTCTTAATTTCTAGTATGTGACAGGTCTATCTCAGCATAATTTTCCTTTTTTTTTGTTTGTTTGTTTGTTATTTTTGGATTAACTATCCAGAGATAGTTTTTAATATTTAATGAATTAGTCACGTTTCAAACTAACTGATTTTTTTAATTGTACTTTAGATGAAGGTTTACAGAACAAACTAGCTTCTCATTAAACAATTAGTACACGTTCTGTGACGCTGGTTACCAGCCCCACAACATCAGCATGATTTTCTAATTATGCGCTAAGCTTTATGAGATTGCTGTATTCCAACAGGGTATATGATATTAGGAACGTATTCTGTATCCTTTCATCACATTGATTTAACTATCTAGTGACTGGTTTTAAGATCCAAACGGAAAAAAATGGAGAGGCAACTCAGAAGCCTCTATCATTTCATCTTATATACCAATTATGCTCCCATTATTATATGTTTGATAATCTTAAATCAGTTTTACTTGCTAGTTCGTTCTTAGAAAAATAAACTTAAAAGTATGCACTATGATGTTATAGTGTAATGTTTTATTATGGGGCTAATGACAAACTGACAAACTGGTTTCTATAATGTATGACATGTTACAGTTTACAAAAGTGCTTTCACATTGTATCATTTCAGGAGATTGGCTACTACATTGAAAAAATATTGTTTAATACATATATTTTTTCCATTGAGGACTTTGAGGCCAAAGATTTAGACTTACTCAAGAAAATACCTTACGATGTGATGAAATCTAGTAACACAATGCTTTTTTTCTATATAATCTTGATTTTTCTAATATTGCATGTATTTTTTTTTTTTTTCAAAACAATCATGTTTTTATGTTCTTGCCTTTAGTGGGATGAAGCACTCCTGACTATGAGTAAGGGAGAAAAGGCTCGACTAGAGATTGAACCAGAATGGGCTTATGGAAAGAAAGGACAGCCTGATGCCAAGTATCCTTTTTCCTTCATAATTAAAGAAAAAAAACACAGAGTAGCTGAAAGTATGAAAGATGCTTTCTAGGCTAACCTCTCGATCAAGAATCCTGTCCAAACTAGTCTTCCTGACATTTAAATGCTTTTGTGTCAGTAACTCCCAATATAGACAATATTTTCTAATAGTACAAGTATTCAAACTGGAGCTGGAATCTTCTTTTATCTTTTATTCAGGCTTTTTTTTTCATTTTCAAGACCTCAACTCTGAAATTTTAAGCTCTCATCTTTGAAAGGCAATTCTTATTCTTCGAGGGTTTACTTCATTAAGATGCCCTATACAAACAACTGTAGCAAGAGTATTAGAAGTATGTCTTACAATAATTTTATGCTACAGTGTAATTTCAGGCAGTTAACTGTAGACAGTCAAAGCTTAGAAAAGGAACATATGTTGGGGATTACCAGTTGTGGAACAAAGGTGACCCATGACCAACACTGTTATTAGTTGCCATCCAGTCGATTCCGACTCATGGGGACCCCATGTGTTAGAGTAGAACTGCTCCATAGGGTTTTCTTGGCTGTAAATCTTAACGGACGCAGACCACCAGTCCTTTACTTCTGTGGTACTGCTTGGTGGGTTTGAACTGCCAACCTTCGCGTTAGCAGTCAAGTGCAAACCATTTATACCACCTACTAGGGACCAAAGACCAACAAACTGTGATTACTACTACTGATAGTACTTACGTGATAGACCCAACGTTTATGAAGTTTTTTTTTTTAAAGGCCATGTCGTTTGTTATAGAAATTTTATAATCCCTTCAATAAAGCGTGAGATAGCAATATTTAGTAAACATGAAAACATCTTTTCTATTTCTGCATTGAGACTTTAAGATTAACTCATACTGTGAACTCCAAGACCAATCCAATAGGTCAAATGGGAAGATAGTTAACTTGTTGCTTTCATTCCCATTGGACTAGTTGAATCAATTAGAGTAAGTTTTTTTGTTTAGAATTTTGGAAGGTCACTGTAGTCTTATCAGTTAAGATTCACTGGGGATATAATTAAGCCCTCTTTAGTCTGTCAAAATCAGATGGCCAATTGTAACTCCTCTTTCATGAAGCATCCCAAGAATTTTGATATGCATAAATCACATCCTTCTCTGAACTTAGCATCTTAAAATTCACAGTAATTATTAGGTACTACCTTACATGGATTTTGATTTAATGCAGCATATATACTCAGCTATACTGATTTTTTTTTTCTTTTTTAAAGTAGTAAGTAGCAGTCTTCATTAAGTGGGGTCAATTTGGGAGTATTAGTGCAGATTCCAGGTAAGGAGGATTTTCCTAATCCAAGCTCAGCTTACCTAGTCAGCCTGTACTGATAGGTTATGATCTGCATTTTCCACTAAAGGAAACGCAAAGATGCTTTTGAGAACCTCTAGACTAGTATTTATTAGCCTCTGATCCAGTGTGCAAATTTTAGACTAAGGATGTGGTGGTTAGACTAAGGATGTGGTGGTGGGGGCAAGGTGTTATCAAATTTACCTTGACATCTTCAACAGAATTCCACCAAATGCAAAACTTATTTTTGAAGTGGAATTAGTGGATATTGATTGAAGTAGCAAGGCTTCAGGTCTAAAGACAACAGCAACAATGATAAAACTTGGCCTTGAAGAAATTTACGTAACTAGAGCTGGTTACTATTGTGTTTAATGGGGGAGTCAACTGGTAAATTCAAGGAATTAAGTTAAAACCTTGTTTACTTGATCTCCATCTTTTGAGAAATGTATCCCTTATTATAAATTCTTTAAGTCTAAAATACTTTCCTGCATCTGTGTAAAGTATTGGTTAAAGAGAATTGCTTTTCCTTTTACCTCGTGTTGTAAACTAAAAAGCTCAATTACAGATTTATCCACTGTCTTGATCTGACTGATTCGTTTGGTGTTAATATATTATTGTTCACACCAGAGAGTAACTTGTAATAATATTGTCTGAATTAAGGATTTACCATGGATGTGCATCTTAAAATCTTTAAAATATTTCTATATAATGAGAAGACAAAAGCATACAGCTTGAGAGAAAATAAAAATTTTAAAGGTTTAAGATTTTGGCATTAATAGCCTGAATTTAGGAAAAGTGCACTTTAGAACCAGTGAACCACTAATAATGGTAAATCTAAAGTTACTATTAGGTGATTTCCCCCAAAAAATAAATTCATAAACAATTACTGGATAATTCTTCGGTTTTATTACAAAAATGATCAGTTTGATCAAAATGAAAGCTTGCTCACAAGTTTTACATGAATATTCTGAATACAAAGTCTCCTGAAACAACAATGTACTTTCAATTTGATTTTCATTTTTTTAAGGGATGCAAACATTCCGTTTTCTCATTTATAATCTCTATACCAAGGCATAGTATTTTAATAGTGTACAATTTCTGCAATTATAGATCCAAACTGACAGCAAGGATAACTGAAACACGCAGACAAACCCATTGTCAACAAAGGTTAAAAATCAAGTTTTTTTTTTTTTCCCACAGAGGAAGTAAATCCTTAATAACCAGCCCTTGTGTGTTTTCAGAATCTTGTACTACACTGACATGATTTGCAGTCAGTTTTTTTCCTACCCTTAAGGCTACAAAACTCTGTTGCAAATGCATTCAAAATTGTTCTAGACCACTTAATGCAAAAATCAAAAAAATAGTTCTCCAATAAAAAGTAAATTTTATAAATGGTAGGAAATAGTATCTGTGGTAAGCTACTAAGTGACATTTTCCCTATTACTAAACAAATCATGTTACACAGAAACAGGGAAGACAAGTTATCAAATATGACAAGCTTACGCTATGTTTACATCCCTCACTAAAAAAAATAATTTCATACTTTTCACACACTCCATCTGAAATTCACGTCTTCCCATCAGGTTGGAGGAGGAGGGTAATACTGTCCATAATTCCAAGGATTCTGATAATTGTACTGAAAGGAAGAAGTACACAGGGTTAGCACACTAGAACCATGGCTAAGTTTCATATACAAATACATAATTAAAGCAGATTATGTTTAAGAAAATAAGCATGTATTCACTGCTGAAATTATGACAAATGATAACAGATATATAGTGTATTCTATAGTCTGAAACAAAAGTAAATTTTTTTTCTTTAAAAAAAAAAAAAGTATCTTAATTTGTGTTCCTAATATCTATGAACAAAACCCTCAATTCTGTTATGTGAACTCACTTGATACCAGGCACTGTAATTATATGCAGCTTGATTTGCCTGTAAATCACCATCAATCATCTGTGTAGATGATGAAGTTGTATCTTCTGTATGTGCTTTCTTTTCCTCTGGTTCTTCTGATCTATAAATAAAAAGTCAAAATGGTAACTTCCAAAACTCCTACAAATATGTACTTTAACAAATCAATGTCATCTGTGTACACCTCACTCTTAAATTAGGATGTTAGAAAGTCATTAGATCTTCATTCAAATCATAAAGTAAGTTTTACAACTTAAAGGTGACATTTAAAAATATCTTTAAAGGTATTTCCTTAATGTCTTCGGCTAAGCGTCTTTGACTCAGCAAGAACTTACATACCCATTTTCTGCTTTCCTTTTTAAAGAATCCTGTTCTTTTAGGAGTGTTTGATGTTCGTCATAAGCATTCAGAAGCCTGAGAGAAGAAAAAAATCCTCTGGAATATACAAAAACCAAACTGTTGAAACACATACCTTTTCCATTTTCTATCCATGTATCCCTGGTGCTGCAGGAATACAGGCCTGACCGATTATAGTATTATATACCCCCAACCAGGGATTAGTTCAGAGGTGAGCATATGAACCAGGACATTTAGTGAGTTCCCAGGCCTTTTGACTGAGCTACGGGAAGAGGCCTGTTCTTTAAGTTGTTAAAGCTGGTGGGATATTAGCCAAGAACTACCTGTGGTTGATCATTTCTACCACATGGGGAGAGTCTGCCTAAGAACCATCTATCACACAACTAAGACAGTCAGCTTGATGTGCTTTTGTCCTGTGCAACCATGAATCCTGACAGTTCTGTAATTTGTATACCTTTGAGATCTCATTTAACAATAGCTACTGAAGTCATCTACCACCAGTTATCATAAAAAAGTACAAACTTCGGCCAAATGATAAACTGAATGAGAACTAACAAAACTGAAATATAGTTTTGTTTTCATTGCTTAAAAAGGTAATTTTTAATAAATTTAAATTCTTGATATATGTATTGCCTCAACTGGAACTTGGAACTTTAAAAAAACAGCATGTCACTTTAAGTCAAAAAGTAAATTTGAAATCATGATCCTTTTTTTTTCCTTTTATACCACCTTTTGAAATATCTTTATAAAGATATTCAGCATTTTTATAGAAATGAGGTTGGTATTTTACATGAATGTACTAAATTTCCTGGGCAGCCTGTATACATAACTTACTGATTACCAGTAATATTCATTCCCTAAAGTTGAAAGGGCTATAAAATTAACATCAGTAGCCTCAAAGGTTGTAAGGAGCCCTGGTAGTGTGATGGTTTAAACGCTCAGTTGTTAACTGAAAGGTCAGCAGTTCTAACTCAACCAGCAGCTCCATGGGAGAAAAGACGGGGCAATCTGCTCCCATGAAGATTATAGCCTAGGAAACCTTATGGGGCAGTTCTACTCTGTCATAGGTTCGCTATGATACAGAATCCACTCCATGGCAAAACACCACCACCACCTCGGGTTGAGTGTTTACTATGCATCAAGCACTTTCGGTGGACTAATCTCATTTAAACCTTGCAACAGCTGTGTGGGACAAGTGCTAAGAGACTCAGTCTTCACATGAGAAAATTTAATTTGCCAAAGTGAAATATACAAAACTACGGCAGTGAAGAAACTAGGATGTAAGCCTATGTTTATCTGACCCCAGAGTCAATTCTTATAAATTCATTGTACAGCCTACCTAGATTTCTAAGTCTCTTATTTTTCTTATCTTTCCTTTTTTTTTAATTTCAGCTACAACAATCTTAGTCCTCATACTCAGACCCTCCATATCTATACTTGCAAAGACCTAAATGGCATCTGTGTTGAGCCTCCAGTTTAGTCTACATGTTATTACCAAATTAAAGGTGCTGCGGCATTTAATCTCACTGGTCAAAACTCCAATAGCTCCCTATGGTCAAATGCCTACTTCATGTGTTCTGAACTGAGTCTAGCTTTCAAGGTACCTACAGCACAATCGAAATCACACTTTCACTACTTCAGGAAACCTTCCAATCAAGCATGTTTTTTTACATAAACTTTAATTTGCTTTCACCACTGTGTCCTCTCCTCAGCTTATCAGACTCCAGTAGTAACTAAATGAAGCCCTACCTTCTCTATGAAGCATAACAAATCCATTCTGATCTACAGAGATCACAGCCTTCCTATCAGTTATATGCTACCTCATACACTTATCTATTTCCCCTGATTACAGTATCATCAAACTAGACTTAACATAATCATGCATCTCATTTCTTTTTTATACCTTCTTCAGTGCTAAACAAAACATTAAATATACAGTACATATGTTAGTAAAAAGCATAGACTTTGAAGTAGGCTCTAATCCCAGTCCCAGATGTAATAGCTTGACTTTGAAACATTTGGCTAATCTCTTTCCTCATCTATAAAAAGAACAAGTACCTATAACCCTCATAAGACTGCTATGAAAATTACATTAGATAATTCCTATAAAACATTTAATATAATATGGTATTAGCTATTTAACTGAAATTTTACACAGCCATCAAAATTAAAAATATATATATATACATTTTCATACCATGACACAGGTAGTTCTCAATTTATTGACAGCTGCTTCAACAGAATCACCCTAGAGGAATTAGAGAAGCCACATGGCACTAGATGTTTGCTGATAAAATTGGTAGGACCAGAACTGCAGCATTGCTCTAACCAATACTTCTCTCCTGTTTAGCAAATTTAAACTTTAAACTTGTACTTTTCTGAAATCCCCTAGTGAGCCCCTCTACACCACCCTCAACTTTCAGCCTTTTACAATGCAGGAAAATGAAGCCAGTAGGTATGATCTGTGAGACAGCATCCACCCTTTTCTCCAATCTCTGATAAAATGAATTCCTATTCCAGATTTACTGCATCCACCTTTCTTAGCCTACTTACTGAATGTGTGTTTCAGGGTTCAATCCTTGACCCATTTCCCGTTTCATTGGATTGTTGCTTCCTGCCTTCTCTCATCCACTCATGGTTTAAATTACCATGCTAAAATTTTGAAAGATAATCCATATGTCCTCTGTTTAAGGCGTAAGACATTTACAAAATTGAATCTATCCCCACCCACATATATCGAGGAAAAACTAACCTAGGCAAACATTTTCAAACATAACAATGTATGAATTTTTACTAGTCATCAAATTCCCATCCAAAAATATCAGTGTTCAATCATCCATCAAAGAGATAATATAAGATCTTACTTATTAACATCTGAACCAAAATCTTCAAGAAATTCCACTTTTCTCTGAGAAAATGTAATTCTCATTTTAATAGGCAATGAACCATGTATAGCTTTGTCAAAACAATTTAGGATGTTTTCTTCATTTTGTTTGAGGTCACCACTATATTCCATTTCAAGTAAATTGAGGTATAACTTTGTGTTCTCCTGTGTAAAAAGCATCAATAAGATTTCTAAAATATTAGAGCATAGGTATTTAAAATACCTTAATTCTTTATGTCTCAATTTTAAAAATATTCAATACTGGTAACTCCTGTTCATATTTTAAGCATACTTTAAAGGGGTGAAAAAATACTTGTTAGCACACTGATGGACAGTGACTTTGTCCAAGGATCTCCCAAACTATACAAATTGTTAAATGCCAATAAATTCAAACTTTATGTCCTATTTTGGGCTTAATATTATTTGGC